AGCCCGAGGCCCTGGCCCTTGCCCGCCCAGCCCGACCTGCCGGGCAGCCTGCAGGTGCTGCGCCCAATCGCCCGCAGCCGCCAACTCCGGACCTTCGCGGAGAGAAGCTGGGAGCGCACCGCGCGGCCGGTCCACCCGCGCGATCGCGGCCAATGGCGGCGTCAGGGGGCGGGGCCGGGCGGCTCCTCCAGCCCCCAGCCCGGGGCCTGGCCCGGAGTCCGCCTGCTCAGGCCCCCGCGCGGTCCCGAAGAAGGCGATGGGGACAGAGAGCGTGAAACTGGGGAGCCGGGATGCCCCGTCCGAGGGTCCCAGACACCCGACTGCAGGGGTAGCAAAGCAAAGCAAAGCAAAGCAAAGCAAAGCAAAGCACTCCCACCGCTCGAGGAACGCACGCCGCTTCCCTAACAGAGAGCCAGAGTCTGCAGCTTTGCCGCCTGAGTGTTTTTTCCCTGACCGCGGACACTGGAGGGGGCCGGCAGTGGGGACGGAGAGTCCACGGAAGCAACATTGTGGCTGAAGGGGCTTCGACGGAAACAGAGAGGCCACGGAAATGTCTAGTGAGATCAAGTGGCCTGGATGGGCGGAAACCCGGACCAGGCTGTGGGGGCTGGGTCGGAGGGAGATCTCGGAGGGGAACCAGCCCTGGTGAGGAGGGTCTGGAGAGAAGGGTTCCTGGGTGGCGAAGTCCCGCGGAGAAGTTGTCTGAAATTATCTGGAGGACTTCAAACACCCGGGTCGTATCGCCCTGGGCTCCCGAGAGCATGAAGTCTTTCTTCCTCGTGGCTTGGGCAGGGCCACCGGCCTGTGCGCGCGCCCGGGCGAGCGGAGGCGCTAAACACCTTGACGTGGAATTGCCTGCTTCATAATTTGTTGTGGCTTCATTGCCCAGGGTGGTCCTGCGGCTCCTGCCTGCTGTGTGGGGGAATCTGGGTTCAGGAGACAGGGCCTGGGGTGTGGGACGCCCCAACTCAGGCTGGCTGCCGGTCCTGTTTGTCTCACCCCAGTTCGTACCCTCTCTTCTGGAGCTGTTTCTCCATCAGTGAAATGTTCTCTGAGGCCCCTCCCAGCCCTGAGAGTCTCTAGTTCTGAGTTTTGAGATGCAAATGATGAGGAGGATGTCCCTGTGTGAGTGTGTGAGTGTGTGTGAGTATGTGTGCACACATGTGTTATGTTTTATCCTTAGAGGGCAGGGGGAGCTGGAACCGTTCGTGTGTTCCAGTCTCACCAGCCTCCATGTTAATGCTGCCGTCATGCCCAGGCAGAGCCAGAGCACTGAGACCAGGGCTCAGCACTGGATTCTCTCCAGGGCTGGCTGACTGGCAGGTGCAAGGTGCAGGCCAGCCAGCCAGGTCTGTCCTCTGCCTCCTGAATGGACCGTTAGAACCCTTGGCTCAGTTCCGGGCAGCTGCATAGGCCAAGGTCTCTTGGTGTCCATAATAACCAATGCCAGGAGCAGGGGAGGAAAGGCTGAGTCCCAACCCCAGCCTCAGACCTGAGTCCCAACCCCAACCTTAAGCAGAGCCTTGTCCCCAGTCCCAGACTGAGCCCTGCCCCACAGGGTCGCACATAGGCTACAGTGTGGCTGGCAGGGTCAGCCCAGGTCTTCACTGGGAGGTAGTGTCCTTCATGCACAAAGTAGAGCCTGACACACACCGATCACAGCACAGAGAGAAAGGGGCAAGTCGAGCTAAGTTATTGACTCGCTCGGCACCAGAGCCGCCATGCGGGGAAGCAGCTCTCTCAGCGGGTGGTGAGGGCCCAATGGCCAGAGGCCCAAGGTCTTCTTGTCTCGCATGCAGCTTTCTGCGTAGGGAAGGCTGGCCCGAGTGACCTGGATTGCTTTTAACTAGGAAAGCACATGTCATAAAGGTTCCTCTAGGAAGTGACCATTTCAGCGGCAGAGCCAAAAACCATTCTGCACCTTAACTGGCCAGTCAGGGCCTGATCACAGACCCACAGACCCCACTCCTCCTAAGAGCGGCTCCCCACGCCCCTCAGGAAGGAGCCCAGCTCCTTTCACTGCAAAGAATATTCTTCACGATCATCTATCTGCCGTCCTCTCTCTCCTGCTCAACTTGAGATGCCCTTCGGAACAGCATGTCATTTCCTGGAACCATCTGGACCTCCGCACCTTTGCACGTGCTGCTCCCTCTGCCAGGAAGGCCCTTAAGGTTCTCTACTCCCATCAGCCCAGCCAGCGCCCATTCTTCCTTCCACGGTCCGTGCAGCTCTCACCTCCTTCGTCTTGTCTGTGTCTGAGTTGGGTGGCCGTCCTCGGTGCCTCCATCTGCTAGAAGCTGCTCTATGTCACACCAAGGTTGTTGGTTTTTCTGCTGTCTCCTCTACCAGCCTGTGACTCCCCAAGGGCGGGGCTGATCGTGTTCACCAACCTGGCTCAGCACCCAACAGAATGCTCCAGGCCTGTGCTCAGAGAGTCACCACTGAAAGCACAAATGCCTGGGAGGCGGCCTTGTCTGCGGGGCCACGGCTTTCTTCCTATTCGATCAGCCCTGATGTGTGTACCTGTGCGCGCGCGCATGTGTGTGTGTGTGGGTGTGGGTGTGGGTGTGTGTGTGTTGGATTGGGGAGTTATTTCAAGAGATCCTTGAATGTATTGGACCCTTATATTGCCTAAGGATCAAATGAATAATATGCCTTACAATGCATGCCCTATTAGATGCCTCTGTGATGAGTAAAACAGAAATCCATTTCAAGCCTGCTTGAAGTATACTGTGATTATGTGTGTTTTTCCTTTATTTGGACCTCAGGGGCATACAGTTTAATCGATCATAGCCTTAGATTCATGGCCCCTTGTCATCATTGGCCTAACTTTATTTTATTCTTATCTTTTCTTTCATGGAAGTTTGTATATAGCAGTATAAATATGGTTCTATCACCCAATCCAAAACTAGATCATCGCCGACACTTAGGTATTTATCTCTATACTCCTTCCCCAGAGGGAACCTTCTCTTCAATATAGTGTGATCATTTCCTTGCGCTTAGTTTTTTCAGTTCTATCACATAACTGTCTAAACAATAGATTGCTTCGTTTTACTTGTTTTCAAACTTTGTGTTAGTCGGTACGCATCTTCACAGCTAGTGGGCACTGAAAAGGGGGTCACTACCATGCCAGGGCCTGAGCAACCTAGTCCAAGGACACCCTCGCCATCCACACGTCCCTCTCAGGGGCATGGTTAATGAAGGGTGATGTGTCCCCACAGTGGCTTCTAGGCAGCATCGTGTGGTAGATGAATATTTAATGGCACGGAGAAATGTTCATTCTGAGTTTTAAGAGGAAAAAGCTGGTTACAAAACTACAAGACTGTGGACGAGGGATTGTTCAGTTTTATAAAAAAACAAAAATATGAAAACATGAGGCTCTATGGATTGATAACCTCCTGGGAGATAGAAATATTATAAAAATTCCTTGGTTGTGAGATAAGGAGTACTTACTGTCTTCTTTGGTTTTTAAAATTATTTTTTCCAAATTTTACATATATATATGTGTGTGTGTGTGCGTGTGTGTGTGTGTGTGTGTGTGCGCGCGCCAGTGTGTATAAAACGCATCCTGTTTGTACACAGATGAGTAATATGACAAGTTAAGCAGGGGAGGCCTTGTGCTTGGAGAAGTTGAGATCCTCCCCAGCAGACCCAGAGGAGGGGAGGCTGGGCCATTCTCCAGAGGTCACAGGGAAAGCGACGGTCTGTGCCACCGTTGGAGGGGAGTGGGTGGCAGGGAGAGGTGGCGGGTCTGCTGACAAACCGGCGTTGCCTCTGAGGGCGGAGCGCTCCGGTGAGGGGACATTTGGGGTCCTCCTGATACCAGGTGGCCTCCATTTACTGCCTGATGGCCACTTGCTGTGCCCACGCTGGGCATCTCCACAGTCTCTCATTCAGCCTTCTCAGTTGAAGAAACTGAGGCTCAGAAGGACTCGTGTCCTTCAAAACACATATGTGGAAGTCCTAATCCCCACTACCTCAGAAGGTGATCTCACCTGGAGATAGGTAATTAAGTTGAAATTACGTCATACGGATGGGCCCCCATCCGAAATGACGGCTCTTTTTGAGAAGCAGAGATTAGGACACAGACATGCGCAGAGGGGAGACCAGGTGACGACGCAGAGGACAGCCATTCGCAAGCCAAGCAGAGAGGCCTCGGAAGGAACCAGCTCTGCCGACATTTTGATCTTGGGCTTCTAGCCTCCAGAATCATGAGGAAAAAATTCTGTTGCTTGAACTCCCCAATCCGTGGTATTTTATGGCAGCCCTAGCAAAATTATGTGGATGGATTAGGTGATTTGTCCAGGGTCGCAAAGCTGATGGGCGGAGGAGCTAGGATCCAGACTCGGGTCTGTCTGACCTCAACACCCGAGCCCTTGACCCGTCCACTATAAGGAGGGCAGACAACGAGGCTTTCCTTTCCTTTCCATTTTATGTTTCTTTAAATTAAATTTATTGGAGTGACATTGGTTAACAAAATTATATAGGTTTCAAGTGCACAATTCTATACCATCTGTATATTGCATGGTATGTTCACCACCCAAAGTCGAATCTCCTTCCGTCACCATATTGTTGACCCCCAGACTTTCCTGTTCAGTGCCCGACTCAGGCTGCGCTGGTGCTGGATCTCAGTGCTAATCATCACACTTGCCTCCTTGTGCCCTGTTAACTGCTCCAGGTCCCAGGGGCACCCTGCAGCTTTTGTGGATGGTGATCTGGGAAGGCCGGGACACTGGGCGGGGGCTGGGGACATCCCTCCTGACCCCATGAGAACCCAGGGCTGTTCCGAGCTCTGCAGTGGGCTGACCCACACTCCGAATCAGCCGCTGGAAAACTCTCGGGGGTCAGAGCTCAGAGGCCCGGCTGCTGCTTCGAAGGTCCTTACTAGAAGATGACACTTGTAGCCACGGC